CTACTCATTCTGGGCTTTTGTGGAGCTCCCACCCGAATGGTGCACATTACTAACAGTTGTATTCTCAAATATGGGTGGTGTATTCAACTTTTTCGCCTATAGCAGGTTCCGTAAATCTCTAATTGAGGGTGATTGCACAAGTAGTAAATCTGGTACAGATTCACCAGGGCCTGTTACAGCCACATCCACCGGTGATTGCACGGTAACAATCACAACCTGAGGCCCAGTAATGCAGTGTTAAGATAGTCTTTGTTATTGTATTGTCAATCATTTGTCCATCTATTACATTCTTATTCAAACAATCTACCCTGATCATATTAAGCTTATTTGTATTATTACTAGTTTGGTCCAGTATCACATGTACACCAGTTCAAGCTTTGCAATCATCAATAGTTTTCATGCTGAGCACTGTGTTAATTTTGTGTGAGGAAGGTCTATTTTTAACAAACAGTGGATACATGATTGGGCTTAAAGAAAAGAACAACAACCAACAATAACAACTCCAACAACAACCACAACAACAACAGGGGAGACAACATTAACCAATGACTTATTTGACAATTACTCGTACATTCACAGAGTTTGTTCACCATCCCTTCGCCATCAAGGGCAGAGTTATAGTGGTGTTCAAATTATCAGAGAATGTAAAGCTTGGGACCAACATGACAAACGAGTGAGTTTAAAAGCAGGCAGGAACGTCGTAGCATAGCACTCTCTTGTGTTTAATCAAAGTTAACTCTGGCAGTGCCAGTGACCGAGGGGAAAGTCCATATGACGTCTGCGAAAGAGCAGTGAAAGCTGAAGAGACAGCAAACTGCAAGGTGCTAGGGCTAGCACCCCGACACACCTCGACATAATTGCTACAACTAGAACTTAAGGAAACACCCCAAGGTGGGAGGAGACTCGGGGGAGGATGATCCACCAAGTCGGACAGATTTAACGGAAACTGACCAAAGCAACGTTACCCGGACAACGAGAAGGAAGACTATTACAAAACCTGACACACAAGAAGAGCAAAGGGCAAGATGTGACAGTTGTGGTGGACATTTCAAGAACATGCGAGGAGTAGCCATACACAAGGGAAAGATGAAGTGTCCTGAGAAGCAGAAACACCAATCCCCCTGTCCGTAAAACACAGGGGGATTTGAACAAGGACTTAAACCACAGTGTCCAAGACCTCCAAGGTACTGTACATGTTGAACCTGACCCACCTCAAGTGGGTAGAGAAGAGCCATGATGGGCCAGTTCTAGAAAGGAAGCCAAGACTGTGGTTGCCTGCAACAACAGACAGAGTGTGGAAAGAACTTGATGATGAAATTGACAATATACTAGAGAACTCCTTGAAAGGGACAGCTTGTAAGAAGATGGAAACAATGACAAGACAAGTGTACACCATGTGTGCAGAACTATTCCAAGAGAAGGGAACAAACAGCAAGAATGATGGAAAAGCTAAAACTAGAAGGAGACAGAGGAGAATAGCTGGACTAAGAAGAGATATGAGAAAGCTCGCATGGAGATGGAAGCATGCCCCTGACGACTTGGAAAAACTTGCACTAAAAGATCTAAGAAGCAGCTTCCAGTTCTTAGAAGAGTAGAGAACCTCAGGAAAAAGCAGAGAGAAAAGAAGAGAGCTCGGAAATTTTTTCTCAAGAATCCATTCCAGTGCACTTACTTGGGAAACCTAAGGGTGGGAAATTACAATGCCCAAAGGAGGAGGAAAGTGTTATTGCTGCTCATAGTGACCCTGAGAGAGCAACTCCATTTAGGAAATGCCCTATACCTATTCCAGAGCCACCTCCCAAGATTGCATCCGACCTAGGTGACATCAAATAGAGGGGATCAGACAGATAGTGCAGCTTGCTCGATCATCATCAGCCCCAGAACCATCAGGGAACACCTACAACGTGTACAAGAACTGTCCAAGAATATGACAACGACTCACTAAACTCATTAAGTCTATTTGGAGAAGCAAGACCATTCCAAAAGCACGGGCATTAGCTGAAGGCTGTTTTTGTACAAAAAGAGGAAAACTCAATAAAACTAGACCAGTTCAGGGAAATCTCATTGCTGGATGTCGAGGGGAAGATATTTTGGACAGTCATCGCCAGAAGACTGACGTCTTTCTTACTAAATAATAAATATCTGAAAAAGTAGAGGCCCAGTTGCAGATGTTGATGATGCCACTAACGAACTTCATTTTTTCTATTTTTTATGCATTATCTATCATAGAAATGCCCATTTACCCAATATGTTTTGAAGGGCGTGAAAATCGAAATTTCTTCAGCTATCTGTCAAGTGCTTGCGTTTCATACGTAAATTGTGACATAATCTATGAGATAATTTAAAACCCACAAATAACCAAAATATTGGTCTACGACAACTTATAAAACAAGTTACGATATCGTAAGTCTACGACATTTTTGGAAACGACCACCTGGGGGCATCCTACACACACAAACACGTACTGTTAAAGGATATGATACCAAAGGCTATCCACATCGCACGTACGCCAAACAGCATAGCTATTGACTAGTTGTTAACAGCAATCATTACCTTTTCATTTTAATTCTAATATTTTATTGGAATATTCATGAACACTCATTGAGAGCTGCTAACTGGTAGTTTAAAACCATGTTTCATTTTGCTGATTCTTCTAATGTACTGTTTTATTGATAGTTTTATTGCCTATAACAACAATATATATGTGAATAACAGTCAATTTTATTGGAATCATTTCACTCTCAAACTGAATTGATCTATCTGATCATCACGATGGCTAATCGCTGTAATGAAACTGTGATCCAATGTACAATTATTCAAGGTGCGCGTTCGGTAAGGACACTCAATGAACAAGACGTTGAGCAAAGATGAATTATCTTTCTTTGTTGGTTTGCATCGTTACCGTTGCGGTCACTCAGTCGTTCTTGTGGAAAAGGTTCGACCGTAAGTTTCGACTTGTATTTCGATACATGTGGTTAATTTTCAAAATCAATTTATTGACGCATCGTTATGCTCTTTATGAAAAGATATATTTGATCATACATAACAAAACCACAGGTATGTAATATTAAATTAGGTTTGATATGTTCTACCTGATTTTATCCATCGCGAAACAATTAACATTATTTGATGATCTAGCTTGTGAATATCCCCCCATAAATGGAATTTGTCGGAAAAGGTGTTTTAGTGGCGAGGATCTAAAGGGGGGACATGGATGCCCTCCAAGGAAACCTGAGTGCTGCGGTAAGTTGATTTCATAATAGGCTATAACATTTTTGAAGAAGGTCCTGTGTTGGATATACCAGGTTGTTCAATAGTTTCACGGAAAAATGCTCTCAATGTGTAACAAACATTTTGTTATTGATTCATTACATATCAGCAACTCCAATTTGATTGGTCAAAAAATGTTACTATTGTAACTTGATTTTTGGGTAGTCGGGACATTTTTCACGTCATATTATTAAGTCCCCATATAAAGAAACCACTTTGTCTCATATTGTAGTCTTACCCGATGTTATCAAAGTGTTATATGTGAAACTTTTTTTTAATTCAAAAGTGGTTTTTGAAGGACTTTTTATTTAAAAAAAGTGTGAATTTTTCCAATAAGCCCGATCATACCAATGCATAGCATTCATCCTCACATGTTTTTTCTTTTGCTGAAAAAAATTAAGAAAATCAGTTCATAAATAAGCGAAAAATGAACTCATCAGTGCATGAAAATGGTTCAGAGAAAAATGCATTTGACAATTTTAGTAAAAAATAAAAAACCAATGGTACAATAATATCTAAAACATAATATATTCTTCCGTTTAATCTGTTTAGACAATCAACATTGGTTTATTATTGAAGTTTAGCATATTTAGAAAAGATCGACTCATCGTTATGGTAACAATTAAACTCAAATATTACTATTGCATACTTTGCTATACCATTCTTAATTTACAATATTTTATGATACAAATTGTCCAACTGATACCCATTATCTCTGTTCATTTTAGGTTGCATTGTTTTAATATGAATTGCTTCCTTAACCCTACGTTTAAGATCATGACTCTCATTATCAATGATTTTTACATTGTTCCAGTTTATATTATGATCATATTCCATGGAATGTTCAATAACCGCAGAAGCAAGACCTCCAGTCGACAGTAATGTGGGTCTACGATGTTCTCTGATTCTAGTAACTAGTTCCCGCTTTGTTTCACCTACATAAGTGGCAATACAGTCTTTACAATCAATTTTGTAAATTACACCGGACTTCTTTTGATCATTAGTTTTGTCCTTTAAATGCACCAACTGTTTCTTGATAGTATTCTGCGATGAGAAACATACTCGGACACGATGCCTTTTAAAAATACAATAAAGCAATTCATATTAAAACAATGCAACCTAAAATGAACAGAGATAATGGGTATCAGTTGGACAATTTGTATCATAAAATATTGTAAATTAAGAATGGTATAGCAAAGTATGCAATAGTAATATTTGAGTTTAATTGTTACCATAACGATGATATATTTATCTTAAGGTTATTATTAGGTCATTCGTTTTTTCGTATCTATGTTTTTTGTTGTTGTTATTTTTTAGGTTACTAGGTCATTTGTTACATAATTAAATTTTCCATTGTCTGTTTATGACGTCACATAAATGTATACATGCTGTTATATTTTGAAAAAGACTAAGGGATATTAGTCGAAAGTCTCAATAAATTAAAAATATTCTCTGAAGTAACGAATTTGACTTGTTTCTGATATATTAACCAGAGAGATGAACTTACATAGTCATATATCTATTTTTTTACTTCATAGAAATATTTGAGAATGTTTGAAAATTAATAGATGGCGTCACTTTAACTGCCCATAGCGAATTCGCTTACCGCACATTTTTACTCAAGATAAGGTAATTTACTCTAGGGTGTGTTTGGAACAAAATGACACCTCAAACCTTTCTTACTAGCTGAGGCTGGGGACAGCACTATCACGGCATATTTATCATTACAGAGGCAGTGGAAGCTGTAACGTGTGAACTAAACTGTACTGGTCCACGAGAGAAGAACCCAAAGAATCTCAAACCAGGAGAAAAAGTCAATGTTACCTACTCATGTACCTTCATTAGAAGAGGAGAGTTTTGGCCGCTGTCCATCAAAGCTATATTACGGTGAGCTAGAAATAGTACAAGTTAAATGCAGTTTACAAATGAAAACACAGAATGAAATCCTACGCTACTAGGTGATGGTCAGGCCATGTAAACTAGTTGTATGCTTGTCTTAAACCCCGATCTTAAACTTGAATTAAAAGTCTCAGTTAATGGGCTGCAAACAAAATTATTGTAACATTCAGCCTAATTATGGTAGTGTGGATGTTGTTTAATAGACTGTGTCACTGTGGGTCTCAGGGTATACGTTAAATATGCACGTGGGAAATCAGTACATAACATTCATATACAATTTTATATATGTATAACGCATATATTGTGGTATTTATAGCCCATCAAATTAATACATGGAAATCGATGTTTTTAGTTACTGAGGCACTATATGAAAGTTCTTGATGCGTGTTCACTGTCAATAAAACACTAATTATAAGAGTCCTTTATATAATTATTATCCTTGAGCACACAATTGTCTCTGGTGTTCTGGACTTGGTTCAATCGACAGGGTATAAGTCCGTAAATAAGTCTTCCAACGCAACATAAGTTCAGTAATATAAACTATGTCTGGAAATGACAGAGATTCTCAATCTAGCGAAGTTCTTCAAACAGGCTGGAGTTGTATAGACTATGTCTGGAAGTGACAAAGTTCCTCAGTCCAGCAGTATTTCTTCAGTCAGACTTGAATATTGTATAAACTATGTAGGGAAATGACGAGTTTCTCAATCCAGCAAAGTCCCTCAATCAGGCTGGAATATTATGAACTTTGTCTGGAAATGGCAAAGTTCCTCAGTCCAGCAGTATTTCTTCAGTCAGGCTGGAATATTGTATAAACTATGTCGGGAAATGACAGAGTTTCTCAGTTCAATAGTATTTCTTCAATCAGGCTGGAGTTATCTAAACTATATCTGGCAATGACAAAGTTCCTCGATCCAGCAGTATTTCATCAAACGGGCTGGAATATGCTAAACTATGCCTGGAAATGACAATGTTTCTCGGTCCAGCAGTATTTCTTCAATCGGGATGAAATATTCTAAAACTTTGCCTGGAAATGACAAAGTTTCTCAGTTCAGCAGTATTTCATCAAACGGGCTGGAATATTCTAAACTATGCCTGGAAATGACAAAGTTTCTCGGTCCAGGAGTATTTCTTCAGTCAGGCTGAAATATTCTAAAAACTTTGCCTGGAAATGACAAAGTTTCTCGGTCCAGCAGTATTTCTTCAATCGAGCTGAAATATTCTAAAACTTTGCCTGGAAATGACAAAGTTTCTCAGTTCAGCAGTTTTTCATCAAACGGGCTGGAATATTCTAAACTATGCCTGGAAATGACAAAGTTTCTCAGTTCAACAGTATTTCATCAAACGGGCTGGAATATTCTAAACTATGCCTGGAAATGACAAAGTTTCTCGGTCCAGCAGTATTTCTTCAGTCAGGCTGGAATATTGTATAAACTATGTCGGGAATTGACAGAGTTTCTCAATCCAGCAAAGTTCCTCAATCAGGCTGGAATATTATGAACTTTGTCTGGAAATGGCAAAGTTCCTGAGTCCAGCAGTACTTCTTCCGTCAGGCTGGAATATTGTATAAACTATGTCGGAAATTGACAGAGTTTCTCAATCCAGCAAAATTCCTCAATCAGGCTGGAATATTATGAACTTTGTCTGGAAATGGCAAAGTTCCTCAGTCCAGCAGCAAAGTTCCTCAATCAGGCTGGAATATTATGAACTTTGTCTGGAAATGGCAAAGTTCCTCAGTCCAGCAGTATTTCTTCCGTCAGGCTGGAATATTGTATAAACTATGTCGGAAATTGACAGAGTTTCTCAATCCAGCAAAGTTCCTCAATCAGGCTGGAATATTATGAACTTTGTCTGGAAAGTTGCAAAGTTCCTCAGTCCAGCAGTATTTCTTCCGTCAGGCTGGAATATTGTATAAACTATGTCGGAAATTGACAGAGTTTCTCAATCCAGCAAAGTTCCCCAATCAGGCTGGAATATTATGAACTTTGTCTGGAAATGGCAAAGTTCCTCAGTCCAGCAGTATTTCTTCCGTCAGGCTGGAATATTGTATAAACTATGTCGGAAACTGACAGAGTTTCTCAATCCAGCAAAGTTCCTCAATCAGGCTGGAATATTATGAACTTTGTCTGGAAATGGCAAAGTTCCTCAGTCCAGCAGCAAAGTTCCTCAATCAGGCTGGAATTTTATGAACTTTGTCTGGAAATGGCAAAGTTCCTCAGTCCAGCAGCAAAGTTCCTCAATCAGGCTGGAATTTTATGAACTTTGTCTGGAAATGGCAAAGTTCCCCAGTCCAGCAGCAAAGTTCCTCAATCAGGCTGGAATTTTATGAACTTTGTCTGGAAATGGCAAAGTTCCCCAGTCCAGCAGTATTTCTTCAGTCAACAAATTGATGAAAAATAATTGATCTAAAAATGGCTAAGTTTCTTAAGTTAACTAAATTATGAAAAGAATAATGTAATGTTCTCGATCTAAAAAATGGCAAAGTTTCTCAAGTTAACAATAGAAAAACATGCTTAATAACACCTGAAAATACAAAGTTTCGGTTTCTCGATCCAGCAGTAATTCCTTCAATCGGGCTGAAATATTCTAAAACTTTGCCTGGGAATGACAAAGTTTCTCAATTCAGCAGTATTTCATCAAACAGGCTGGAATTATCTAAACTATGTCTGGAAGTGACAAAGTTCCTCAGTCCAGCAGGAATTCTTCAATCGGGCTGAAATATTCTAAAAACTTTGCCTGGAAATGACAAAGTTTCTCAGTTCAGCAGTATTTCTTCAAACGGGCTGGAATATTCTAAACTATGCCTGGAAATGACAAAGTTGCTCGGTCCAGCAGTATTTCTTCAATCAGGCTGGAGTTATCTAAACTATGGCTGAAAATGACAAAGTTTCTCGGTCCAGCAGTATTTCTTCAAACAGGGTGGAATATTCTAAATTATGTCTGGAAATGACAAAGTTCCTCGGTCCAGCAAATCTTCTAAGTTTCTCATCAATCCTCAAATGAAACACTGGCACGGGAGATGTGTTCCAATTAAAAGTTGCCTACGTGTCTCCTAGGAGCGATCCGTGCTCTGTATTTATACCCCAGACAGGTTTTGCACACGAACCTAACAAGTGATTAATGGGCTGATGCAATACCTGGCCAGTCACTAGAATCCCAGGCAGGACAACACTAGTGCAGAATAAATAACTATGATTCAATGATGACATAACTTTTGCAAAATAATTGGCTTCACCTAGCAGTCACGATCTCCGTTGTTAAACACAAAGCGAACACATATCTTGTAATTAACTAGCTAGATTAAGATATAAACGAAATAATTATAACAAAAAACAATCATCATTGGCTCTAATTATGGTGAAATTGCAAGGAAAAACGAGTAATTGAATGTAGGTCAACAGAGCTCTCTAATAGGAGAGAAAATGTACACAAACGAAAACAAAATAAATCTCCCAAAAAATAGTAGTTTACATGATTCCCAGTACACCTAAAGTGTTCTATACCTAATATGTAAGTATATAAGCTGTCAACTGTGACTGTGAAACACTTTCCTACTGTCTAAACTGTCTGAAGTGCTAAAAAACGGTACTGGACTCCAAAAATTAAAAAATAAAATTTTGAAAAGTTGAAAATTTGTTACACTCTTCCCATTCAATGATTTTGGTGTTTACAACACCAAGCCTAAGTACAAAAAAAATAACAAAATTTTCCTAACTAGACGTTTTCTAAAAATATAACCTATACAACCTATAATATAAAATACCTAACCCCGGGGTTAACTAGCTGCGTCTACAATGCACAATGAAAGTTCTGTACCTTAAACTTATTAAACTTTGGTATCTCAAAACTTAACGCTAAATATCTAACTATTTACTTAATACAAATGTCTAACTACTATGTACAAAAACCTTTTCAGTTTTAACTCTCAGCTAATTGTTAGGTATGAATATAAAATTATACTCATGCTAAATGTCTTGTTCAATGCCCAACTCTCAAGTTAGGGCTTCACTGTGGGGGAATAACAACGATCCCTCCAGTCACCATCTATGTCACGTTCAGGGTGTCCTCATATATCTCCCTCTGTAAACTTTGGCTAGAGGGACTTTAGCTGGAGATGTTCTAAGTTCATCAACCTGATTAGGACTCCTATGGTAGGATTCACGGTATCCAAGAACTTTACACCATCTCTTATCCTGGTTATGCCTCTGCTCTCTGAATTTTGAAAAATCAGTTCGATCCGCAGCTGTCGTCTTAGATGATCTCTTGGGTTGTGATGATCTGTCTCTCAGCCTTAATTTTTGACGTCGACCTCCCTGTCTGTGTTTTACTTCACTCTCTCCATCTTTAGGCACTCCTGAGTCTACTTGGTGATATCAAAATTTCCCAGATTCTCTGGTTCAAAAGTCATTTTACACTGGCGATAGTTCAATACAGCTCCAGAGGCAGCTAGGAAGTCTGTGCCTAAAATTCCCTCAAATTGAATATCAACCACGGCCACCTCCAAATTCTCTACATGCCCCTCAATGTTCAAGCTAACTGGTATAACACCCTTCATATGCAAGAGTTGCCCACCTGCTTGCAAAATGGTCTTCTTAGGCGGCTCAAGCTGGGGCCTTTTGCGTTTAGGTATACTATGGTAGACCTTTGAACTCATGATTGTGCTAGCGGCTCCAGAGTCAACTAAAAATGAAACATTGGTGTCGCAAACTATGCCATGTGCCACTATCTTCTGAGTGTCCTTGGAAGACTGAACACCATTTCCCTGCAGAGATAGAAATTCAACGGTAGCAATCTGGCTAGATCTCTCCTGTGCTGCTTTATCTCGCTCTTCGGCACGCTTCCTTGAATAATAATCAGCGATCCGGTGTCCAGGTTTATGACAATAGAAACATTTAGGTCTATTGTTCATGTTCACACTATTTGAAGATTCCGATTTGGTTAACTTCATCAGGTCAACCATTTTCTCCAGGTTCTTGGTGCACGTTTCTTGC